CAGGTTGTGGGTGTGAGGGAGGGTGGGAGGGCATGGGGAGTCCCCCACACACTCCCCCTCATAGTGAACAACCCCTGCCACCAGCAGCAGCAGCTCTTGGGGTACTTGTGGCCTGCTCAGGTCCGGGCTCACAGCTCCAGCCGGAGCTGAACAGCGGGAGTGAGGAGCGCAGCCCTGCCAACCGCCTCTCTCGCACTGGGCGCCACACAGCACATGTGCAGCTCTGCACTACCGGAGAAAGCCTGGAGTTGGCTGTCTTCCCCACCCACTGCCATGTAGGTCCTTCGAAGCAGGGGATGGGGAAGGCAGCTGGCACCAGCCTGCACTGCTTCCCCCATCTTGCACATGGGCTGAGCAGAGCCCAATGTAAGAGAGGCAGCCGGCAGGGCTGCTCTCTTCACCACTGGCACTGGCCGGAGTCATACGACGTGGGGCGCTGATGCAGGCTCCTGTATGGGTCATGAGTGCCCCAAGGGCTGCTGTCACTGGCAGCAGCAAGGGCTATGTGTCATAGGGGGGAGTGTGTGGGGGGTCTCCAGACCTTGCCTCCACAACCCAGCTCCCACATATACAACCCAACATCCCATATTGACCCTCCACACTTCCTCACAGCCCCCTCCCACACACACATACCTCCCACCACCACTCCGCTCTCCTTGGCATTGGTTGGGCTTTTTCTAGGCTTGTTTTTAAAGGTAGTGCCACCTTTTACCTATCAGACTAGGCTACACTGCTGCTGGACTTACACCAGATGATTATGTTGAGTCCCAGTTCACTATTATGCCTACCCAAATCTGAACAGAATCCCACTGGCTGCAGTCTATCGGTGCTATGCCTCTTCTTTTGAAAGCAGAGACCGCTCAGATTCCTCTCTAATGCAAACACACTCACTCCCACATTGGAAAGAAAACACAGATTGGCTGCTTTCTCCAGGATTTGTTTTCTCTACTCTCTTCCTTCACCTAAATTTGCAGTGTACACAGCTGAAATGTGAAATGGTCAACATTTATTTTTAAAATAATGTTGGCAGATATCCCCCTCATGGCATATTTCTGTGCACTGGGATCAGACTGTTTCACCCGTCCGGGATGCAGCAGTACTTTTGCAAGATTCCAGGCCTTTCACTGATATTCTGGAAAGAAAAACTCAAGTATTCTCTGATTAGTTGTGGTGCTTTAGATCACAAGGGGCTGTCTTTTCCTTCATGGAGCTGACTCACGTGCTTTTTGCTAGCTTCTTCTCCACAGTTCTCAAAAACCCTACGGCCACTGGGTTTGATCCTGCTTACATCAGCAGGACATTCACTTGGGGAAAAAATGCAGGTTTGAGTTTATATAGATCTACCACCTTTTGTGACCCATTTTAGAGATGGGTAAACTGAGGCAGACAAGAGCCAATTGATATAGGATACAACACAATGGAGAAAAAAACCTAGGACCCCTGATTTCTCACTGTTGGTCAAGCTCTCAAGCTATGTTTTCTGTCCTAAGAGGAAATCTAAGACCCACTCTAAATCCACTCCAGAGCCACTCATGTCCACTGAGGGGAAAACAACACCCATACTTTAACTGTTTGTTCCCTTTCACTTTCAGAACTATTCTAGTTATGTTTCATTACCTCATAATGAAAATGAAAGTTTAATTAGGAGGAGCAAGATCACTGGATAACAAATGCAAACAGTGAGGAGCAAAGTGCACGGAAAGTCCCTTTCCCCCCACATTTGGCAGGGTCAGATCGAAATAGCAGGGGGTGGAGAATCCTCTGCTGAATAAATCCATAGTAGGAGGATTATCATCCCTTTTGCAAGGTTTTCAGCTCCTGGAAGTGCCATGACAAAGGGGCAAGATGCAGTCAAGGACCTGAGACTTCTCTTAGATGCACGTCGCCTTTCAGGTACTGTACTTCTCCCAGGCCCAGG